AAAGATTTAATCTGAACTTTAGTGAAAATCGCACTAGATCAGAAGTTTACAAGTTCAATTTGTGTTCCCCTGAACTTGAAAAAGTGAACTAGTAATTATTAATGAACTCTTTTATCAATCGTTATTCGTTTATTCACACACACATGTATATATATTATTCCTGAATGTGTACTTTTTCTCAAAGTCGGGAGAATGTCTGAGATTCATAATATATATTTGTATTCGTTTTATATTGCTATTATTATTCTTATTATGTCATTTCGCTATAGTTAATTCGTTTACCTTTCGCATGAAGGATTCCTCCGAGTAATTCTCGACCAATTAGAATCATTTAATTTCAGCCAATCATTTCACTCTGTATTGTATCTTTTTCTCCCACATACTTACATTTTGTATTTCCCGCTTACGTGTTTTCTCTCACGTTCGATACGTACCTATATAAAGGGCTAGTTTCGGAGTTTCGGGGCTCCTTATTCATGTGTTACATGTTTCTATGCCAGTTTATCCAGCAATAAACCATACCGTGTTTTGCATCCTCATTGACTGTTTTATTCTGCCATCAAGTTCAACTGAAGCGTATTATTATACCCCACAGGGAGATAGGGTTTTCCCTACCAGGGTGTAGAGTTTTTGATAATTCTAAGTTAAAATGGAGCGTTCTATGGCTTCTTTGGGGCCAAAATTACTATCAGACAGGTCACAGTTGAAGACTTTGGCCACATGTGATCTCTGGTCAATCAGAATGTTATGGTTGCCAGAGGATCTGTCCCCACGGTGAGGGGGCACATGGCCATGGCATGAGGGCGCTGCACCCCTGTTCCCTGATGCATGCATATTTTGGGTTGTCACAGATGGTACAACTTCAAATTACTTATCAGAATGTGTTTATCAAACAGTTTATCAAACCTAGCATTAGAAACGACAGTCATATCCGAGTGACAATCTACACAATAATGTGATGCAATTTGAATGAACATACAATAATTGTGACAAAACTATGTAATCTAATGGCATATGAGCCAAAGAATTCACCAATATCCAGCTTATTATGTTGATAAACTGAATATGCTGGATGACATTTGTATGTTTTCCCCACATGCTGTATTACCTATATCAAACTATAATAAGGGTAATCTAACCCTGTCCACTTTACTTGGGCATACATTTTCACAGCCATTCCATTCAAAGTTTGCAATACATATTCATCATTTTCATTTTTTATGCTGGTATTTTGTTCAAATCTTTCTTTTTTTCAGTCAAAGACGAAATAAATCCACATCACAGAAATTCAAATCACACGGAATAAATTAAAATCATACCACATTTAAAAAAACATTTGGTCAAAGTAACGTCACGAAAGTGGTTGCATTCACTTTAAAATAGAAACCAGAGCTAGGAAAAGAAAACTATGTTCTACCCAGGGAAGGGAACTGAACTTCGCCACAGCCATGGTCAGCTGCAACCACCACGAACTTCTCGAGTAAATCAAATATTTCGTAATGCAAACAAACGAAATCAATGTGCATGGGCCCCAACTTGTGATGATAGGTGATTAGCCGTTCACGCGATACTCATACAGCACCAAGTTCATACAGCTCAGCTCCGCCATTTTCCCCATGTCAGTGATGGAACAAACTTTACTTGACAGCTATTACAATAGTAGACCTGTGGTAGCCCCCAAATTCCTATTAACTTGAAAATATTTCTGACTTACTGTATATTTACAATGCAGATTCCATCCACGTTTCAACTTCTCTTTTCAATTTTTAGATTTTGACAGAACCACGCCTCCAAGCGACGACGTATAACGGAAACGAGGTAATTGTAGACACTGTTCGGTTTATACGGTTGGTAATTTATATTGCATTATCACTAATTTGTCAATCGACAGTTAATAAAAAATCATTGTTTTTGCAAAACAAATGAACACACGCAAACATGGACGTGACATTGATTTTATTGCATTCAAGATTGATTTCAAAGTTTAGAACATCGACCGACAGTGACTATATTCAGAGTGGGAGCGGGGGGGGGGGGGGTTAGCTGGTACAGATTCCAGAAAATAATAACGGCATTTTACGTTTTTTACAGGAAATAAAATGATGAAAGTTCTATTTACAGTAAATAATAGGTTTTTACACTTTACAGATAAAGCAAATTCCTAATTACATTTTTATAATATTTTTGATAATTTGAGTTTAAGAAACAAAACTGGAAACGAATTAAGACATTTAATTTGGAGAATGCTTTATACGCTTACAAAAATAATATCTTTGCACAAATTACGGACGAATAAAATAGCTGATTACATTTTACACCTAGCCCATGTCTACGAATTTACGTTTTTTATTTATTTGAATAAAATTATTACGAAAATAAAAACAATTAATTACAGCTTACGAAAATACTCCTTGCCGATTTTTTATGCAATGCAAGTACATATTGGCGTGATTTAGCTACTTATAAGTTTGGAGATTGGCGTGATTTAGCTACTTATAAGTTTGGAGATTGGCGTGATTTAGCTACTTATAAGTTTGGAGATTGGCGTGATTTAGCTACTTATAAGTTTGGAGAAAACGTGTAAACAAATTCGATACGTAGGTTGGTGACTGAATGTCGTGTCTACAAAATGGCTCTTACGGGATAAATATTATATTAACGGGTTATTTGGTGACATTCCTCCCGAAGAACGCAAAATTAAAGCATTCTTTCAAACTACTAGGTTAAAAAAATAATACAAGGCAACTGGACATCCCGCCCTGTACTGAACCCCATTGTCACTGCACCGAATAGATCAAAA